TTATCTTCCCTCCCCCCTCCCCCACCCACTACTTTTTCCGATATGGGATTCGTTCCATTTGCTATGCCGCTACGAGGCTAATCTCGTGATTCGTGCTCGGCCCACCGATTGATCTCCACCATCATTTTTTTTCTTTCTTTCCTTCCTTCTTTCTTTCTTTCTTTCTTTCTTTCTTCGTATTTTCTTCTTTTACTACTTTTTTTTATTTTTTTTTTATTTTTCTCTTTCTCTCTCTCTCTCTTATTTTTTTTTCTCTCTTTTGCTTCTCTTTACCATAGAAAGATCATCTCACAAAATTTATGCGTCTAGTCCAACAACCCACTCTTCCACGAGCTTTTCATTATTCTCCAATCGATTTTCTCTTTCTCTCTTTCTCTCTTTCTCTTTCTATATACACTATTTTTCTATCTTTTAACATTCTGTATATATCTATTAACACGTATAGATAACACTTTCTCTTTCTCTCTTTCTCTCTTTCTCTTTCTATCTACACTATTTTTCTATCTTTTAACATTCTGTATATATCTATTAACACGTATAGAGTTATTTCGTTTCGTTGTTTGTCAACAGTCGCGTGTACAATTGATAAATGGAATAATTGGAAATTGTTATTTTTTTTTTCTTTTTTTTTTGTTTTAATTAATTATTGTTAAATTTTGAAATAATGAAATTTTCTCTATATACGCGTATAATTATTTTATTTCATTTTATTCGTTAATTCGTAACTTCTCATACTTTTTATGAACAAATTTTTAATAATAATAATAATAACTATATATATATATATATAGTTGGAAAGTTTTTTTTCGATCTGTTGACGAAATCTTTATCGAAGTATGATGATTTTAAGAAAAATATTTAATTTAACGATGATAGAGTGAGATACGATAGAGAATATATTGTTTGATGGGATGGATGAAAGGTAATTTGAATAGGGGAAAATAAATTGCAATTCGAAGAACAGAGAATATTTGAAATTAAAAAGTTTATTAACTTACTTACCCTTTCCACCAATTGGGGGGGGGGGATGTTGACTCGAAACAAGCTTAGTTTAACCATAGATGAACAATGTTCAATAAAAGTTATGAGAAAATTCAGAATATTTCTATTACGTTGAAGAGATTTATCGGTTTTCTAACACAAATTATTCGCTTTATTTTTAGTTTTTCTAGTTAGAATACTGAATACAGATTTATCAATTTCGCTTAAACTGCCTGGTTTTCACCGAGTGTGGATAAGTTTTAATATTGCAAACTTTCGATTGGGGTGGGTGCGGGGGAGAGGGGAAGGAAACATTAAGAAACGAAGAAAATAAAGTTAACGTATGCATTCGCGCATAGATTTTTTTGTTTTATTTAATAACATTATTAACAAATTCAGACAAGTCAATTGATTTCTTTTCAATTATAAAATCGACGTTCCAACTTAACATTATTACAATTTTGCAAAATGGTAAAAAGTTGGCATATTTTTTGTTGTTGCAAATGACAATCATATATAATTTATTTGCAAAAATTTTGTCGACATGGAAAATCAAAATCGTTATTTGTTTTTTTTCTCCATTAACAATTAAGATCCGTCAAAATGTCGTTCATTTATTCCATATATCCGCCATTGATTTGTTATATTTATTTGACAAAATTGAACAATGTTTCTACGTATAATATGGTAAAATAATTTTGATCAGGTAACGTGTACCACAAGGGAAAAATTGCATAAAAAATTGTGTCATCGATATATGTGATCTATTATATTATTTAAGGTTAATTAGGTGGTCTCTTAATATGTTTGATATCTATTGAATATTAAATCTAAAAGGAAGAAACTTAGAATGGCGTAGGATCGGAGTGGGTGGGTGGTAGGTTGGAAGGGGAGGGGGAGATACTGACAAAGTGGGCTTCGTGCCAAGAAAATCGATAGTTCGAATCCACACGTTAACTTGGCACGCTATGGAGTTTTAATGGACGACAGCTCGTTAGGTAAATTAACGGTCGTGCTTCTTATTCGATAGACTATAGTTATCTCTACGACGTATGAAAACAATAATTCTACTAGTAAGTTTTCACGACGAAACTTTTCTCAATCCCTCTTTTTCTCGGATTATTATATACAAATAATTATAATAGAAATAAATAAAGCTGAAAAAAACATTTTTATTCGGTAGGTGTTTTTTTGTTTGTTTGTTAATAGAATTTCATCTCTAAATAAATATACGCACACAAAAATGTATATTTTATATATTTATTTGTTAATATATTTATTAATTTATTCAGTATTTTCTCTCGTCCAAAATTATAATTCTTGATGATAAAGGTTCATAAATATAAATAAACTAAGTTGCTTAGTTAAATTAAGTTCTACTTCTTTTCATGTCCAAGTTCCCTATGAACCTTTATCATCAATATTTATTAATGTTATACAGTTATAATATTTATTATGTTATACATTTATTTTTTTTTTCAATAGAAAATATTACAAATCATTATGAAAAAAATAAAGTATTTTTAAATTTTATAAACATATGAAAAAAGAACTCGAGAAACAATTGTTCTTTATTCTTTTATATCCTAAGGGCCTGTAAGTATAGTACTTTCATAGTATTTACATGTGTGTGTGTGTGTATGTACGTGTATGAGCTATGAGAGGTACTAAGGGAACTTTTCGAGTTAGGTGGCCGTGACGACACAAGTTCTTTTGGGTATAAAACAAACAAACAATTCCCTTTCTTTTTTTGTCCTTTGTCAAAGGAGCTCAGATCAAAACCCGAATAGAGATCGAACTCGCGTTATCGAAATATGCATGAGAATGGGGAAAAGAATTGATAAAAAGTTGAAGAAGTAGTATAAAGGACAATGATAAAAGGGAAAGAAAAAAAAAACAAAAAGAACTCGAGTACTCGAAAAGGGAATAAAGAAGGGCCAATCCTCTCGTGAGTACATATATATATATATATATATATAGTGAAATACGAATGGTTATTACAAAATAAATTGACAGATAATACTTTGATGTTTGATAAAATTAAGTTTAATTAATATTATGTGTTTATTATAAAAATCATTTCTTTAAAGAATGATCAATGTTTAAATGATTAATTATATTGATTCGCAAATATTACGAATATTATTATTAATAATTAATTTCGAGAGATGGGAAGGAGGAGAAAGTATCAAAAATTTATACAAAAATAAAGGAAAAGTAAAATACAAACCATGTATAATATCTGACATTTTTATTTATTCATTTTCAACAGATGTTTCGTGGGATTTGGATACGATGGCCATTGCTATCAACATTTTTATTGGGCTCCAATATATTATTGGTAGTTGCCCAATGCGGATCGTCTATACAAGATAGACAAGAAAGGCAGGATAGGCAAGACAAATTAGCATTGTATAAGATCACTCTGAGAACTTATTGGTCGAGAGCACGATTTCCACGACATTATCCTGAATGGAAGCCACCGGCACAATTCGGCAAACTTATTGGTAAGTTTTAATAATGATATTTTTATCATTCGTATAATATAATTTAATACGCGTAGTATTTTACATAATATAATATAAACAATATATATGAAGATAATAATGAAACATTTTTGGTATGCACGTTAAATTCGCATAAGATCAATTTCAATCCAAAACAATATTTTCCAACTATTCACCCAGCACTTTTCACAATTTGGGAAAATCAAATTGTTTCCCTTCCCCATCCCCCTAATGCACACTTTAGTTTTGTATATTATCGTTAATAAGTATTATCCATTAATTTATTAACGTATTTATTGATATTATTATTATTAGTAAAAGACTAGTAAATATGGTTCAGTAATAGGTTTATTAATCTATGGTGAAATTTTGGGGGGTTGAAACCGAACGATGAGGTACCGACATAAAGCGCTGCTTTAATTGTGCAATATTGTCAACGGTGTTGTATACTGTTGTATATAGAACGTTGGAAACACAAGCGTTATATTGTACACAACGACCAAGAAGACACTGTTATATTCATGACTAGCACCATCACCCCACCATCATTAAAACAGTGTGTATGCCGCGGGGGTGGGAGGGGGAGGGGTGATAGATCATTTTGGACGTTTATTAAAATGCTCTTCGGTTAAATGTCAAGAGACAATCGTAATACGACTCTACTGTTTTATATGATACGAATTTTTATTAATAATATCGTTCACTTGTTAACAATTTTTTTTATTATTGTTTATTGGGTGGGGTGGGGTGGGGAGGGGAGGTAAAGCATATTTGATTTTTTTTTGGTATTTATTGTAACCATTGTAACGTTTTATATTCGATATTTGTATATTAGTCGAATTATATTATTTTGTAGAATTGTAATAAGATGATAAAAAAAAAAAAATAGAATACATAGGTAAATATTTCTTATAGTTTTTTTTTTTTTCAGCGAAGAAAATAGTAAGAAATATCGATCTAAAGAATTTAGAGCTTGGGGGTTTAGTATACCGAACACTTAGATAAACCATAAATCGATATGAATGGTTGGACCGTGCTGTTATTTATGTTTTCTACGAGAGCGAGAATAGCTTTCGTCTTTAGTATCTCTATGTATATGTAGATGTGCATATATACATATACATACATACATATATATATATATTTTTACTCAGTGCAACTTATTTATGGCGAGGGCAAATTTACAATTTCAATCCTTGATCAATACGATATAAAGTCTAGAATTTTGAATGCTTTACTTGTATGCGAAACACGTGTATTATATATATGTATCCTTTAATACACGTGTCATCATAAATTTCATTATTTTTATATATAAACAACTTTATTCGTGTATATTTTTACACGTGTTTAAATTAAAATATATATCAAACGATATGATTTCTTTTTACGATAGCAAAAACATATTATTATAATT